ATCTTGTGTAATGGGGCACAATCACCAAAGTAGTTTAGAAACAGAACTACTTCAACGAACCTGCTAGGTTTAATGCCCTCGTCACTGTACTTATTCATATACAGTAATCTTTTCCTGTCGCCTGTGTCACGGTTGGGTGTCTAGTTTCGTTCACGTGACTAACTTGTGGTGTTTGAATGAATGGAGGGGGCAGCAGCTCGTGTCACCTCCCGTTCCGACGCATGCTGAGGTGCTACCGCCGCATGAACGCGTCGGTGATATTCATGCGCTAATTACCGGAACCAAGTGCTCGTTTTCGATCGTCTTAATTACGCTTCGACGCAGGCATCGACATTAAGCAAAACTCGCCGTCCGCCATCATCACCGCTACCATCATATTTTAGCCAGTTTAGCTTCCCCGGTATTTGGCGACGGCTCCGGCTCCGATTCTCCATACTTCTGATGGCCCTGGTCTAAAATCTGGGTGACCCAGTTCTTAGTGCGACATTAAAATCAAAATGACTGCTTCCCTTTCTCGTTGATAGCGTTCTTCGATAAGGGTGTTGCGCTCCGGTAGCTCAGAGCGAAAATTACAAATCGCTTTCGACCCCGCGAAACGATCACAGTCTTTCGCCTTGATGAAAATCAGTTCGCATTACGGTAGGAGCCACCGGGGCAAAATAATTGGCTTGTCGCTGAGTGACTGGAATCAAATTCACCACAATCAAATTTACTTATGTAGGGATACATAAGTAAAGTTTAAAACTTATTGTTATGTTATCGTTTGCATTTATATTAACAGTAGTAGTAGTAGTGTTATTTGTGCTTATTTCAAGCTTCAGTACGTAATTTTTAAGTGATCTCATCGTCCGTTGCAAGGACATCCCGTGATCTGAATTGCATCAGTGGTTCACAGTCGCTTGAAACAGCGGTAGTTTTTTGACCTCTCATTTTAGCAGCAATTCGTTAAATTTACTCGATGGAAAACCTTGTATTTTTATAACTTCTTGCATTAATTTAAATGCTCCACAAAATTCTCTGCAGACAGTTTCACTGCTATATATCATAGTATCACGTTCCTCGAAAACGACTATCTATCGCCGCCTAGCGATTTCAACGATCAGAGCATATAATTTAAAGCACATCATTTAAACATATCTTCTACGGCAAGACATTTCGCTGCTCGTTCTGAGAATCTCTTCTACGTGGATATGGATTTGAAACCAGCCCATTGATTAGTTTGAAAAACTAATAAATTCATGACTTGACGTTCTCGTGTGAGAAGAATACTCGCCATAATCGTTTATACTTCTTTCTGATATTAGATCCTATCGAGCATGTGCAATTCTCGGCGAGATTAAATTTAGTTAGAAAACTCAAGGCCCCGAAGAAACGTTGAACCGTTAAACATAATTTAGCAGTGGTCAATTGATGGCATAATTCAGTTTTATTAGATGATTCCGTTTTTCACAAGTTTTTTTTCAGAATTATTCATCCCCGGACATCTCTATTGCTTTAATAACTTATTTTAATTTTTTCCGAACCTGTCGGAAATCCATCAAGAAAAGGCATTCATTAAAATTATTTGTGTGTGGAATAGTAGTTTAATAAAGTAGTTTATTTCGTCTTTAACTTTTTTGCGTGTTTTGTCCCTTGCAATTATTTTGCGAATAAAAGTTAGACTGAGACCTACTCTAAAATATGATCTATATATAATTGAGGTGTAATATCGATAAATAATGTTAAATATAGCCCAATATTCTGAGGTAGTTGCCACGAATGGCAGCTTTCCAGTTCCTCTTGTAAGTAATACTATTAACTTACTAATACTGCTCGAACGCGGTCTTGTTCGTCCCAACTCAAAAATACGCCCGATGCGAGCAAGCCCTTAAACACAATGAACCAGTGGCCTGTTTCCATGGCCCTCTAGGCAGTTTGAAACAATGAGGCACTGCGCGTTTCCGTGTAAATTCGATATCACTAGCTGATATGATATGATCTGCAGTATTCGACAGCAAAATGGATCGTTACTAGTTTAATTATTATTAAATGTTTAAAACATTTTTTTATTGTGATTATTTTTTTAATCAATGGTTCAAGCCAATAGGCTTTTTTTAACGGAACAAAATTACTTATGTGCTTTTCGCTGACGCATACCGACATCCTCTTCAGAACAAAATAAATGCATGCCTTAAATTTTATCTTATGGGGAACAGATAATCCTCGCCGTTCGAACCCCTAGCTCGCACATGGTCTCGACAAATTA